TGAAATGCAGAAACTTTAGACAAGACCACTGATGACCTCCGTGGTGTCACAAAGCCAATCTAACTATGCAGGAACTCTGGAATCGGGTCCAGATGATGCAGAAGTTCCACAATGGTAAGATTTCATCATGGGTTCTCACGTTGCATAAACCTGCCTGCTGCTTCAGCACAGTGGCTTATTTTTCCAAACAGGAAATAAGAGAACTCATGGGCTGTTTTAATGTTCGTTTTACCCATGGTCAGCTGTTACGCCATCTGATCCCAGACAACTAGTCCCACCATGGATAAACGGAGGTGGCAGCAAACAGAAGGCAAGAACAGCAACCCTGACCCCATTCTTGGCAATGACGCCCATGTCACCAACAGTTGCAATGTGCCCAAGTGGCACATTGGAGGGTCTGTCACCGATTGCCTGGGCATTTTTTTTTTTTTTTTGCACATCAAGCAGGTGAAAATCTTTTTCCACACACATTCTCTCTCTCTCTCTCTCTCATTCTCTCTCTCTCTCCCCCCATTCCCTCCTTGCTTTCCCCTGATAGCTTTTAAAAGGCAAGGGGAAGTATAGTTTCAAGATCTTTTTTTTTTTTACCTGATAGACCTCAAGGTGATTCACATTTTTCATTTTTCCCCAAGAATGTAGCTGCATATAGCTTATATGTCCTGGAGTGGGGAACCACCGATTGCCCTGTCAAAATCTTGTTTTAAAAGGGACATTCTTTTTTTAAAAAAAGAAGCTAGAGTCCTAGGAGAATGTGTAAAATATATGTCACTACATGCACACTTCAGAAAGGCTGTCACAGGCTTTAAAAAAGTAGTAAAATTGGAAAATTCAGAGCAAGCCAAAAAATGTGCTTGTGCTCTCAGCAGGGAAGCAGAGAATGAGAGAGTCATTCCACATTGTTCTCTGGCATGTCAGATGGATAATGATAGAAGGCAGGGGAGAATCACCAATGGTGAACACGATTGCCCACCAAGGTTTATCACAAAGGTAGGTTGGTGCAATGTGTGAATGTGCCCAGTGAAGCAGTGGGTGATGCAAAAGACTGTGTATGGAAGTCCAGGGAAAGCAAGGATGTTAATTAACCCAACATGGAGAAAATTCAGATTCTAAGCTGTCCCTAAGAAGGCAAGGCACAGGAGACACAAGGGGAAGACAGTGGCATACATTGCAAAATAGAAACTTGTGTTGTTCCAAAAATGTCTACTACAGTTATTCAAACTTTCTAATCAATTTGATGGAAAAGAAATAACCTTCAAAAATGTTTGGAGAGAAAATTCAGAGGGGGCTACCTGCACATCAGTAAAAACCTCTGTGAAATAAGAAACCTTCTTTTCACAAAAGTTTCTCCTACAGATCACTACGTGCAACCTGTTAGGGAGGCCCAGAGTAATGGAGACATGTGTAATGGAAAGAAAAAAAACACACACAACACCATCGACCACTTCTAAATGGTAAGATAAATTCCATTCTATTAAGAATGCAGCTATTCCCACGTTTCACAGGTATCATATAAAGACCCATTGATCTGTACAAGCTTTTGGACTAGAGACAAATATTTATTTTGTTTCTAATGTAGTGATTTTTCATTATATTTTATTGTATAATTTGTAATTTTAGAGTTCTGATTTTAATGGTGTTCATGTATTCTTCCCTGGCAAGAAAGAGGTGTGTGTGCACAAGCACCCGCGTGCAAACAAGTGTGCATATGCGTAATATGTGAAACTCAAAAGAAATTCTAAAGTGCATCAACCATGAGACAAAACAAAACAAAAACCAGTTTCACAGAAAAAGGTAGCTTTCAGGAAATCGAAACATAGGTTTTGGCACAATTTCAACAGACTAAAATGTTCAAGGGCCTTTTTCTTTCATAAGAATTTAATTTTAGAATAGCACTTTTTTCTGATTTATTCTTGTTTTGATTTTTAACAAGGCCTCTTTTAGACATAACTCAGTGCTTTAACTCAGAAATAGTTCCTAAATTTCTTTAACTTAAAACAACAACAACAAGGGCAACAACCCACAAGCCAATCATTGATTTAATCGGTACTGATAACTTTAGAAAATCATCATGAGAAAAGAAAAGAACTAATTCCTGGCAAGAGGAGGAGTACAGTTCCGTTCCACGGACTGGCGCTTAGGGGATAACTGTGTAAACAAACTCTCAGATTGAATTTCTTGCCTCTTCTGAAAAAAATGCATTCGTGACCTGAGTTTTCATTCTCTACTTGACAGTGATACATGAGGGTGTGATGCTCCTTAGACAAGCAGAATCAGCTTCTTCTCTGTGCCCAAGAATGCACCTGACAACCGTGACCACAAGTATTGCCACTACCATAGATTACATGGGTGATAGTCAGATGGAGACAGAATGACACACCACCACAAAGCAGGCCTTTCCCTTCTCTCTATCCACAGCCTTTCTTGCTTTCACAGGTTCCAGTGATATGAACACTAGTTTTCCTTGCAGGTACAGTAGACAATCTGTCAGGCCACTCTGTCCTTGAAACTAGAGCACAATGTAATGAACTCAGAGAGAGAGAAAAGCAACTTCTTTAAACAGTTTTAAAATGCCCCTTTGAGTTTGTGCTTAGCAAAAGCATCAGGACTTTTATATGTTTCATTAGGTAAGTTTCATTTATTGCATCCTATTTAGCAGTTGATAAATGCTGACTGCCAGTCAACTAATACACAATTTGGTTTATAGTTATCTATATAAATAATTAGATAGATAACTATTATAAGTACACACAGATGGAATTTTCCTATCAAAAATGGGTCTCCAGATAGCAGGCAAAATTTTGCAGGATCCAAGACATATGTTTTATCAAGTGCCCTTTAATATTAGCTTATAGGTTGATGAAATTGCAGTAATCTTTAATAAAACAGCAAAATAGTTGAGAACTACTTATACTGGGTATACCCTAACCCTATATCTTACAGAATTCAAACATGTTAACTTCTCAAATATAATAATTAGCAAATCAGCCTTCAGACTGTTCAAATATAAGACCTACGTTTAACACCAGGCTGATAAGCAAAAATAAAAATAAGAACATCACAATAAAAACAGTAACAATAGCAAATAAACAACCATAATTAAAAAAACTCCAAGACAACTAGTCAAATTGTTATACAGGAACAGCAGCAGCATCTAATAAAACCCTATTAAAACTACAGTCATAACTATTAAAATGCCTGGAAAATAAAAAAGGTTTTCACCTGACATTGAAAGAAAAAAAGAGTAGGTGCCAGGTGAACCTCTTTTGGGCAGCACATTCCAAAAATGGGGTGTCACAAATGAGAAGGCCCTTCTCCTAGTCATCACCCTGCTAGTGGGCAGGGTCTCCTTCACATGGTCCCCAAAGGATGATCTAAAGGCCAGGTACATATGGGGAAAAAGACTTTTTATCAGAAGCCCTATTTTTTCCTTTCAAGTGCAACTGCATTTCTTCTTGCTCTTTGCATTTCTTCTTGAAATCTTTCTCTTTTGAAACACACACACAAACAAAACCCAAGTAACAAAAGAAGATAGCAGTCATTCCTGGAACCAACAAAAAAAACTTCCTTAGGTTTCTAAAGGTCAATGTCTTATCTTTAGTATTTGCTTTAGAACAGGGTTGCATCAACTCAGATGTTAAAGACATTTCAAGCAACATACATACATGAATAGTTACCAACTAGCTGTACAACTGAAAACAAATATCCATTTGTTCTGAAAAGTGGAAGGAAAATTTTTCAGATTGTTGACTAGAATTAACAAAAGCTATTTGTGTCCCATTTCCTGCCATCTCATGCAACTCTCTTTTGTACCCACATACCAGTTCTAGGCTTGAAGAAATTCCCAGGACTCCTTTATTCCTCTCAAACATTCTTTTCAAACACCAAACCAAACCACACCACCTGGCATTGTCAGATAATGATAGGGATGAAAATTACTCCATACGGAACACTAGGAAATAATGTGGACCTGACTCATTTTGTATTCAGAAATCTGTGTGTTTTATGGCTTGTGATCCATTCTGTGGAACTGCAAAATTGTGTCTGATGAAACACACAATTGATTTTTTAAAATGTGTACATTTGAAACACTATAAACACTTTAAAACACTATATGGATTTATTTCCATTCCTTAAAGAATATACACAGCCATGGAACAGTTTTGGAACTGGAAAATAAAGGAAGTCCACAGAAAAGGGCTGGCAGATTCATCATCACTAGCTTCAACTCTTCTTTTGTGCAAGGGTTCTATAAACTGACATAACCTTAAAATGAGAAAGGGCCTTTTTTATCTTTACTTCTGAGAAACAGCAGGTTGCATTGAGAAAGCTGGGAGCTGCTAGAATCTCACAGAATGGAACTTTCACCTTCTTGCTCCCCTCTGCAGCCCGCACAGAAATAAGGAGCAGGCTGGCCAATGCCAGGCAGAGCACTAAGCAAAGAACTTCTGCTTCTTTTTCACCTGAGCTAGGATATCTTCAGCAGTGCAAGCCCTTTGTGGTTGCTGTGAGGATATAATAGAGTGGAAGATTTTCTCCATTTCCTCGAGTTTCTTGCAAGAGGAAAAAAGGAAGGGTACAAACAAACAAACAAACAAACAATCAAATGTCTACTCAGAGTCAAATGTTCCTATGACGTAAAATACTGTAGCTGATGTTGAGAACATGCTTCTAGCTTTCCTGCATGTACTCCATCTAACCCAGTTCACAGTACCTGCTCTCATCTTCTCCATATGAATTGGGCTCTGGAAAGAATGTGAAGGTGTTTCATGGGCAGTCAGGAGCAAGTCCCCATGCCAACACATACTGTAATTAAAAGTGTACATTAAGAGTTTGTACCAAAGTGGAGGGGTGGAGTTATCTGATGTTTGCAGAGAAGGAAAAGAAACTCTGCTTTGTACATATTTAGATGTGTAGCTTTCTGGATACTAATAAAATCTTTAATGATTCAGAGAAAACTCAGTTATATCAGTTTATATTCATCATAAAACAGTAATACTTACAAAAGTTGCATTTTCCAGCAATAATGTAGTTGTATTTGTTTCTACATTCAGTTTAACAACATGTCCATGCCTGTTTTTATACACCACTTCTGTATCTGTTAATAGAAAAAATGCATTAAGGATTAGCTAAGGCAAAACATTTCATGCAATAACTCCTTAGTTAATGGAACTGTTCAATGAAGAAAAGTGATGTCCATTCAATACATTAAAATGTGCTTAGATTGAAGTAATGACTTCATTAGCAGCATTGAATTTCGTGGATAAGTCCAGAGATAATTGGAAACTCTCAGTGCTTCTAGTCTTCCTGACCTCACTAATGGAGGAGGTTTCACCACATCAGCATAGCCACATCTTACTCCTTTGTGTAAAACAAGACCAATTGTCCCATGGAAAAGCAGTTGCACTGGCCATGATGTCCTAACCTTGAGACCTTTATTAGTTTTGACCTTCGTGGTTGTTAATTAAGTGTCCTGTGTCCAAAGAATAGAGTCCTTGGACACAGGACACTTGCCCCAGGAAACAGTAACATAAACAAATATTTGCAAGAACTTTTAGCTATTTCATTAACTTACTGCTCAACTTCTAAAGAGGAAAATCATTCATGAAAGATGCCTCAATGCTTCTGAATGAGTTAAGCTCTGGTTATACTTCCAAACAATTTATATCAACCATACGACATTGATGCAAAATGAAGAAGTACAAGGAAAAAGCTATAATGTAACAATTTCTCCAAAGAACACCTATTGGTCATGTTCTGACTTTATTTATACGATTTATGAAATTATAACCATCGATGATGGAAATGCTTCCACTGGGCTACTCCTACCATCCTGCAAGTCTCCTGTTTGATGCCTCTTAACAATCACTCCCACCTGGCTCCTTCTGTAATTGGAAGTGGCTATATGAGCTGGGGACTCATAATTTCTGGTTTAGTTAGTTTGACATCTAGATGGAGAACTCTGGCTCTTCTATGCCTTGAGATGTCAGAAAGGCAAACCAAGAACAAACCTTGGCCTCATGATGTACTTGCTGTGACAGAAACAAGCCAGAATTCTTAGCACACTCACTGACATGAGAGACCAGCACTGACATGCAACAGTGCTGGTGCACTGTTCATAGAAAACAACAGTGGTGGTGCTGGTGCTGCTGGTGCTGTTCTAACCAGACCAGCACATAAACAAGCACTACATGTAAATATTGATTGTAGTCGAACTTTCTGACAGTATCATGTTGCCTCATGCCACCTTTGTTATTTTATTCAACCCGTTATCAAACTCTCCTGTTATGCCTTGTGGAGTAGGGTGGGAACCCTAGTTCAAGGCAATATCCATGATGCCTTCCCACTCCCCGTAAGTATGTCTGTGGCCAGAACACTTTCTTTCACCTTTACCAAAGCCTGTGGGATGACAATATTCCATTGCCTTTTACAGAGGTGGGGGAAAGTGTTTCCTGCCCCTGCACAAAAATAGCAGAAGGAGGGACAAGAAAAATGAGAATCAACAAAATAGCAGCAAGAAAAGCAAGGAGCTAAACAGCAGCAGTGCTCCCAACTTCATGGCAACTTGTGCTAACATCTGGGAGACATTTGCAAATGCCATATGTGCTCGTGGACTTTCAATTGGATGTGTTTAGGTTGTCCTAGTTCCAAATTCTAGCCAAACCTAAGCACAATCAATGGAAAAGAACTGTACATTCCTCCCCAATTTACTCTTGCTCCCCTTCTGTAATACTCCACCTCTCCCTTTTAAGATTCTTTATTTGGGTCATGCCCCACAATTTCATTGCATTCCCACATCACCCCCCTGCAATGTTATCAAAAGATTACGACACCCTCCCCCAGCAATTCTCCAAAAGATTAGGACACCCTCTGGCGCAGATTTAGGAGACACACAGCTGACTGGAGAGCATAGCAAATACAGGGAGAAAAGAGAGCAAAGGGAAGACTGCAAGACTGGATTTAACCTTTGGGGCAATCCACTGTCCTATTTGATTCTGTAAAATCTCACTATATTAAATAAATGAATACATAACTCAATAAAATGTCAGCCAGCCATATTAGTCATTTTATTTGTCTCAGAGTTAATTAAAAATGACACAATTAAAGATAACATTGAGTAGTTTTCAAAATCAACTTAATTTAAAAGTTACAAATGTCTATGCCCAGATAGTTAAGACAGGAGTTTTAAAGGGGATAACCGGTTAAAAACTAAAAATAAGCTTTTACTTATTCAGAGGTAGTGCCAGTGACTGATTACTGGCCCCTCCAAATACCCTAAAGGGCAGCCTGGTGTTTTGAAGTACAGCTGCCATCAACTTATGTCACATGTTTGTGCTTGTGGGAGTCAAAGCGCAAAACATCTCAACAGCACTGGTTTGCCAATCCCTGCTCTTTCGGTTCGCTGACATCATGCCCTGCCTCTCTCTAGCTACCGCATGAGTCACTGATTTACATGAAGCATCTTGGTCTGATTAAAAAAGACAGTTCTTAGAAAATCAACAATTATTTGTTTTCTAAATTAGAACAGATATGGCTTCCTTATGGATGCTGTGTTTTTTAACCTGAGGGCCCATTTATTTTCTGCTGTTCAGGCTCATAGGTGAGCTTCTAAAGGAATGGCAGCTTTGTGACAGTATGACAAATGAGGGTCACCACCTCTAAAATTGTGTTCACTGTTAACAATAAAAAGCAGAAGGCACAGGGCTAAAGTGTGGCTGGCCTCCTCGGTATTTCTGCTCCAAACACTTCTATTCAGAATTAGGGACAATATGCCACAACATGAAAAGGTATCCGTTGTCTCCCCTCTGCTGCCAGCCCCATTTTGTGTTTTCACATGCACAAGTCCAGAATAAACAGAAGAACAAAAGTGCATTTTCCAGAAGGAATACTTAAGGACAGATTATCTTTTGAGTTACATCCATGTGACCCACTACAGAAGCATCTTTTTGAAAGGCAGCTATACAAGCATATTAACATGAAAGTCTGGCCATTGTTTAACTGTTTTAAAATCAGTACAGAATCTGTGATATATTTTAAACTCATTTTAATTTGTTCAGATAGCACTGGAGAAGAATTTTCTTCTCTGTTTGTCATTTTACAAGAAATATGGCAACCCAAATACAGGATATGGAAATAAATATTCTGGACAATCAATGTTAGTCTTCAAACATGTGTAATTTGATACTAATGCTAACATAAAATACTAATGCTAACATAAAATACTAATGCTAACATAAAATACACAATGCAAGTCACATTGGTAGAAGCAGAACCCTGCTTTAAGACCAGCCACACAGGTGGTGGGCAATATGTAAGCAAGAAAGTCTCAATACTTATGCCTGTCAACAGTTGGAGTGGCTTCCTGTTGGTCACCAAACAAATGTTCAGTGTGAGATAGACTTAGGGCAGAAAGAAAGCAGGCTGGAATTCAGCAAGCTGAGCCAAGGAGTTCCAACAAATTCCCAACCCCAAATCAGATTCCTTACACATTGCTAGTGTAAGCGACGTGTAGAGAAACACCAATAGCATTTGCCGATATGATGGATTTTCTAAGGAAACACATTGTACAAATACACACTGATTGGATTTACTTGACATGGCAACCTCATTGGGTTATCAATAATGGGTTTTTCACTAATTCACACAAGGCAGCTTGTTTATGACCAGTGAGCCAATATGATAACCCAGGGGTTGCTATAAGGATTGTTGTACCTACAGTAGATTGCCATGTCATCTAAAACTGGACAATGGATCCCATGATACAGGAAATAATCCAAATCAACTAGCAAGTGGTTCGATAGATTGGCAAGAAGTCCACTGACAACTGTCAGCAGCTGTTAAACTGGGGATAATAAAAGCTGGCTGTCAAAAAAGTTTTCTTGATTTCCAGGAAAAAAATGGGTAAAAGCTGAAAAAAACAGAAAACAGGGTACAGGAGACAATTCTGTTCTGCCATGGTATCCCACTGGACACTCTTGGAAGGAGGAAAAGAGAGGCAGAGAGCCAAAAATCTACTTTGTTAGGCACACTGTGTGTTTGCAAAACAGGCTATTCATTGTGTAATATTACCAGTGTGGGTTGGCATGATGTGCAAATATACCCACTTCTGGAGTGGTACTGCGGATCACTTATGGCTGCCCAATTGAATTTACATTAATCATCGATTAAATGCATTACTTTATGGATTGGATCCAGATTCAGTCATTTGTAGAGCAGACCCACTAGAAATAATGAGGTAGGTAAATCATAACTAACTTAAGTCACCTTTATTTTGGTAATTATACCCTAAGTAAAACTAAATATGGATCCACCCATGAGCCCTACTCAATTTAACTCTGGCACTAAGTGAGCTAAGCTTCAGCAATATACAAGTAGGGATTCACGTCACATTAAGACAAATTCCAAATGCAATACGAAATCAGGCCGAATCAAAGCAATGGAGGGTGGGCGACTTACCCTCTCTGAGTATTATTCCAAACTTTAAAGGAGCGATGGATTGTACTGAACCTTCTCCCCAGAATGTATTCCAACCCATGAATACCTACTTTAAAATCCAGAGAGAAACCCTCCACTGAGTCACTGATGTCCAAAGGGAAGCAGCAGCCTGAGAAGAACCTGAGCACTCCTGCAGCTCTATTTGTGCTGCAGAGCCACACGGAGACTCAGGGCCACTGGGGAAACAGGAGGCTGTTCCGATTGTCGGTCTCCACAAGTAGTGCACAGGGAGATGCAGTGAGGAAGAGGAGAACGGAGGAGCCAGAGCACCTCCTTCCCTTCTGTGCTTAGCCTGATTGGGTTCAGTGCTCCTGAAAAGGGCTTCTGTAAGAGTTGGCACATTTCCCCCCAAGCTCTCAACATAACTATCAAAGTGTGGAGGGGAGGAAAGGAAGAGGACTGGCAGATCTAGCTTTACTCACAGTGAAAGGTTTTACCTCATTCACTGTAATTTTTTGAGAAAGACTCTCCTTAAACCCATTGTTACCTGACACGAATAAATAGCAGTGTTCCAAAGTTGGCATGCAGCACCCCACAGACCCTGAGATGGCCTTCCAAACAAACCCAAGTTGCACTTAACACAACATTTGCACTGAGCTCTCT